TGATTAAGCCGAACAGAAAATTATATTGATAATCTAGAAACAGAAATCGTGTTACATGGTGTAACTTTAATTAAAAACACAGATAATTTCCAACAAATTATTTTCACGTACTAACTACGTGAGTTGCTTATTCTTCTTTCTCCTCCAGCGCCTCGAATTCCCAGCAACTATACGTTATGAACTTTGTAGCAATTGTTTTAAATAGACTAAGTTGAGTAACAAAACGTATCGTAAACATATTTCATTGTCAACGAGATCACAGAAGTTGATGCGGGTAAATCAAATCCATTGCATTTCAGATACGCTCGGAGAGCGAAAAAGTTGTTCTCTTCCGAATTATTCAATCAAACTTTGGCCCTACCTGTAGGAAAGTTTTATATGTGTTGTGAAGAAGTTAGATTTCGTTTCGAGATAGCAAATATAGTAATGGATGAGAAGGAGATGGAAAAAATATCGAAAATACAGGAAGATTTTTTATTTTAAGTATAATATAAGCTACAAGGTATAAAATGTAGTACTTATATGATCTGGGTGGGTACCTACTTCTACAACTAAATTAATAAGTACACTGTGATAAATAAAATTGAAACAGTAATAAATAAAATAACCGACGGAAAGAACTTAATAATATCAACAAAAGTAATATATTTTTACGTAAATTTTTACATTAGCGCAGCATAATGCTGTGCTATAAATATGTGTATTGATTTTTAGGCAAATCGTCTCCGCAGTCGAAGTCGTGGGCAGTAGCCAGTATAGTAATTGATGAGCAGAAGGCGATGAAAAATATTGCAAAAAGCAGAACTGATATGGAAAACTAAATGTGGAAAACTAAAAACGTTGATCAATAGCCTGCACAAACTATGACGTCTGGAGAAGATAATATCTTTCCATTTCTTGCAAGTTATATCATGGGCAATTTCTACCGGAAAAGATAAATTAGATTTATTAAAATTAGAGATTGCTGGAGACTGTTGTGATACAGGGAAAATGGCAGATGAAAAAATTTTCCAGCATGCGATGAAAAATTGGTATATCAGTAGTACGACTTTTTCGGTCAATTTTCAATAAACGTAGCCATATTTAATTGCAGCGTTAAGCTTAACACCGTCACCTATGACCAACCCTGACCACCGAAGATAGGCTCATTTATTATAAATTAAAAAAAATCTGCACTTGTACAAATATGTATATTACCCATATATCGTTGTTAAATTTACTACGTTATTATTTTTTATCGATGGTTCAGTCATATGAACAGGACATACACGTTGCTTAAATCAAGGAACTAAAAAATAATATATTATCTAAACAAATGATGATGAAAAAACTGTACATGTTAAAAATAAAACACAAATAAATACAAACTTACTGATTTTTATTTATTTGCTTATGCAAGTTCTTCAAAAGTCACCCCAAATTCCTCTTAAAAATTTAACTCTATTTTTTTGTTACCCAAAAAGGTCTATGCAAAATGTTATTTTTTAATTTCATTCGGAGTGCCCTGATTCAACTCCGGTAATTACCTTTGGTCGTTTCGGTGAAATAACGAAGGGAATATAAATTATTTGAAGGATTTTGGTTTAAACAGACATTGGTAATTACCCCTTTTCGAGTGAGATCTCCTTCCTGTCCTTTGCATTGGAATAAAATAGACGTCATAAACTTAAAATAAACCCGAGCAATTCCCAAGAGACATTTATCATCAAAAATAAGTCTAATAAAGTCAAGAAATTATGGTTTCAGAAAATCGGGAAAAATAATAGTTTTATTTCCAATGTGTACCAAATACGAAACGCGAAAACCTGATAACTCAAAATATAAATTATTGTATTAGTGCTCTAACTCATGCGAATATTTAATAGCAGTGGAGCTGCTTGCGTATATTTAATAGCAGTGAGCATTCTGCGTTCCGGTTTTGAAGGGTAGGTAAGTTGAAATTACAGGCACATGGGACTTGTCAATTTATGTCTCAATTGACAGGCACAGTAACAGTACCCTTTAGATCTTTGTGATTTAAAGTTCTAAGCGGTACTGCAACTGTTATGGACAGGCGAGTTGCTTAACATCAGACGCACGACTTGTTCGTCCCGTCACTTGATATTATGAAAAAAAATCCATCCTCGCCTTGCCACTGCCCTGTTTCACTTTCACTGTTTTTTTATAACGCATAATCCGCGCTGATAGCCGCAAAACGTACCCTTTCATCTGAATTTTTGACGTACCCTTTCGTCTGAAGATTTTCTTATGTATTTGTGTGATTTCTGGATAATAATAAAGATTAAAAAAGAACTCCGCAAAGGATAATAATAAGATATGAAATTATAGCTGTTTCTAGGTCTAATGATGTATTTTTTAATTACTGTTTTAGCCTTTATGTAATCTCAGTTTACTCATCCTGGACAAGTCTGTTAGCCCTGATGTCTTTGTAAGGGTTTATCATTTCTTGACACATCAAAACTATTTCAGATACATAGTCATGCTCGGCAGCTTCTACATTCTGAACTTACTCCGCAAAAATGTATGTGCACAAACAATTTTCCTTTTTTGTATTTCTCAGCATAAATCATCAGCATAAATTTATCAGAGAAATAACACGACCTCTCGCTTCAAGAATTTGATGGCAATGACGATGGATCGAAATAACGGAAGAATCACTATTATTCTGTTCACTGAGGAAAAGGAATTAGAGAACGATTCAAAATTTAAAGTCAAAGTCAAAGTCAAAGATTATTTATTCCATAGGTAAAATAAATTTACACTTGAAATCGTCACATTTAAGCTACTGCTCGTTCACTACGCTGACCTCCCTGAGAAGAACGAGCAAGAAACTCTAAGGATTGCTCTTTTCAAATAAACTTAAATGCTACGGAATACACTTTGAATCAAATTTGTGTGGATTCTGGAGCCATGTCGTCTTTCCATACATCTTTATCTAACACGTAGTCTTCAATTTTGTAATATGATTTTTCGATCAAAATATTTAAAACGTAAGGGCCCTGATGTAGAAGGTTAGCATCATCACAATATGTTGCATACATCAGTAATTAAACCTAAAATACAAATAAAGTAACTTTGCAAACCGTTATACAGTAAACCTCAACGAAGATAAATTATAAAATCTTTGAAACAAAATTTGCTTCTCCTTTACCATAACATTTTACTTTATGGTCACAATTAGCTTTAAGCCAGTAATAAAAAGCTTCTTCCTGTAATAAATTGCCAAGTTTTTTATTCAACCTTGCTTATTTTGCTTACAAAAAGGTGGTAAGATTAAAGGCCAACTTATAATTATTATGTACAAATTATAATTACTTGGCGTTAAATTTTAAATGCACGTTTTTTAATTATAACTATAAATACATGAAGGAAATGAAACAATTTTTCCGGATTTAAATCGCGTATATTTGTTTTATGAAACAAACCGACGTTTCGGGCCCTTTACAGGTCCCATGGTCACGGTTGACCGATACATACATGTTACTTGGTACTTGGTGCAACGGGCTGGTATCCGCAACTCGACGACAAAGCGCCTATTTTGCGTGTACATACATGTTACATGGTACATGTTTTGGACGAGTATTTACTACGTACTAAGTATTTATTTCGAAAACGTGAATGACATTGAAAAAAATATATACTAGTTATTTTATGGTCTTCGCAATTAAAAACTTTTTTTATAATATCAAGTGACGGGATGAACAAATCGTGTGCATTGTAGTAAGTGACTCCTGTCCATAACATTTACTGTGCCACTCAGAGCTTTCGCAAAAATCTGAGGGGCACTGTCACTGCGCCCGTCACCCTGTGATATAAGTTGATAAGTCCCATGTGCCTGTAATTTCACCAGCGCCCTTATCGTTCAAAACCGGCACTCAGTAATGCTGACAACTCCTTCACAAGGAGCTCTCCTGCTACTAAAACACGGCTTTCGTTCAAGATTTTTTAAATTTATTTTATTAATATTTACCCTTATACATAATATTATAGTTATTTAACGCGATTCCCAAATTACGGTCTAATTTATCCAATCTCAAATATTCGAAAGCCCATTTTTGCCTGTATGTCCCGGAACACGCTTCAAGGGTAACTCCCTGTTGGCTAGGCAGTTGTATATTTCGTAGGCATTTATAATTTCCCATGTTTATAATTTGTTTTGTCTGAAAACAAATACAAATTGTGATTATATGTTAGGGATCAGATCCTCAGTGTTTCGAGGGTCAGCAATATAGGTAATATTTATTTATTGAATATCATGTCGTTATATATATATATATTTGGAAAATACTACAGTAGTTTGTGTTAGATCTTTGATTTTATTATTGATACAAGGTTTAAACACAAAAATAACTGCCTCAGTGGCCGAACTTGATTCCCGGGCCGGGAGAAATATTTGTATGATCTTCATTATTTCCCTCGTGAGTTTGAATATAATTTGTGATTGTCTATATCTTTGTCCATGGCACATGCGATTCAGGGTTTCCCTAGTACCGGGTTATGAGTGTGTGTGTGTGTAGGCGTTATTATATATAAGTAATGTTCAAAAAATCAGTCTACAACACGCCTGTCTTTTTCATAAAGACTGATTAATATTACACCGTCCCGGGGCCGACCCGGTTCCAGTCCGGCCCGATCGCAACACGTTGTAATAAAAATGCATCCGCTGGGTACCCGGAGGGTAGTCAACGTTGGACTATAGTGTAGTGGACTACAGCGCAAGTGCAAAATGCTGTCATCATCTATTAAATCTTTGTAGAGCGTGGCAAATTCTCCATCGAATTCTCGTTTTCTCCAGACAACATGTACCCATCATCTACTTTTTCTAATTTGTGTTTCCAACACTCCGTCATCAAGAGCTATTGCAATAGCTGCCAACTCATGTTGTGAAAATTGCATTAATAACACAACCTTATCCCTCTAGAGAAACGACAGTGGAAACGATACGGCACTGTGACGGCCCGGACTCCACACGGTGTAACGTGAATCCCTGAATGACTAACCCGGCCGGCGCACGGTGGATACGACACGGCACGGTGACGGTCCGGACCCGGCACGGTGTAACGTGAGTGACTGACCCGGCCGGCGCACGGTGGAAATGACACGGCACCGTGACGGCCTGAACCCAGCACGGTGTAACGTGAATCAGCCTTAATCCTGGCGTGAAGAATACTCTAATGGTAGATGACGATGATTTATTGTAAAAATCTTGAATTTCAAAATACACCAGAGAGATGACCGACGACTTCAAAGTCATTACCGTAAGCACTTTTTTATTGCAAATAACAAATTTTCATACCGCCGATGACCTGTCGTTATGGTAATTCATAAATTTGCGATTGAGGGTGTCCAAACTGACAATAATAAGGCACAATTTACGTTAATGCTGCACGAAACGGCAGCAAATTTTTGTAACCATAGCATAATTAACTTTATGTCAATCGTGTAACGCACAAATTCGATATGACTCAAAAAACAGGTCGTGTCTTTCGGAAAAGTCTCGCGCAGTGTCGGCGAGTATGTACGTTAACACAATTGACATAAAGCTTATTATGCTATATACCAATTCGTTATTCGCAACAATGACAATTTATAAAATGATACGACTTTTAAAAACAGACTGTGCTGTTTTCGGTTATATACTCGATGGTTACATTACATTGCACAAAGCAATAAATATCTTTCATTCCAATGCTTGGTTCTTCTTTTTAGCGTGTCGACTCTGACGTTTATATTTGCTAGGACCAGTACTTTGCAACTGATACAGCATTAAAAATGGTAGTAAATTAATTTGCTACTCCGCGAAGGTTAAAAGCCAGTGAAGGTTTAAACGTGTAAAATATCTGCCCTTGTGTTGAATATTTTTTATGCAGTTAGTTTTACCAACCTCCCTTCGCATAAATATGAAATAAATAAAATAAATAACACAAGCGCATCTATAATGTGTATAAAATATACCCGACACGTGGTTCGCCACTCCACGAGGCAGCCTCAGTAAAAAATTTCTGAATTTACGATAGGTTATTCATTACTCGGTCACACATAACGACCACTTTGAAAATCATAATCATTTCGTTCATCTTTTGTAACACTATACTATAATATTGTAGCACCGTAACCTGATTCCTGAAAACAGTTACAAAATAAAATACTAACCGAATTATTGTAGTACCAGATTTGATTTTTATTTTCCGCATTGCACAAGTCAAGGCCAATCATTCCCATCATATATGTCATACAGTAATCGTTCCTCTTAATTTGTCCTTGCTTCGTATAGGCCCAATACTGAAACGATTTGAAAGTATCAAGAAATATTCACTACCTGTCTGGGTGCAGGAATCAGACAATGATTTTTACTTAAATTTTCAAAAGCCAATACTTTGTCCAAATTTAGAGATGTTACCTGATTCCCACCATGGTAATGACACATAAAAACGTTTACACATGGTTGAAAATTTTGCAAAGAAGTGTCCGCATCCAAACACATCATTTCATTGTTCAAACTGTAAAGCTGAAATGTAAAACAAAAACCTACATAATTTTGTGATCTTAACTTTACACTCTGTTCTCTTGTTGGAGTATTTTTCTAATTACAAAGCTCAAGAAAAACTTTTCTAAATACAAAGCTCCAACTACCTATTTGCCCCCTTTAGAGTCGAAAACCGTACCGGTGCCCTTCATCTTTACAAATTTTATAAAAAAAAAATAATAGACTGCCTGAGAAACCCAAGGGCAGCTACTTTGCCCAAAGTATTAGCATAGCCATACAAAGGGAGAACGCTGCCAGCATCTTAGGCTCTTAGCCGCGAGGACCCAATCTTATTCATATAATTTAATACTAGATTTATTATCTAGTACTTAAGCTTTTATTGTAATTTGATATCTTTCTAAATAAAAAAATGTGCTCGTGCACTACGTTTATAGATCTTCGTCATAACAAATTATTTAAAAGTGAGTGTGCAACTTACTCTCCCACTTCCAACAAGATCATTAGGTATACTCAGGTAAGGATAAACCTTTTCCAAATACCACTCGAATGATTTGCATTTTAACTTTTGCTTCAGCTGCATTCGATTATCGACATTCCCATATTCTCCCAAATCGTTTCCTATTCGGTCGAAGAAATATTTTGCGTATTCATCTAACCAGACCTGCAAAAGAAATAGAGAATATTTTTTTAACAACGAAAATCTTGAGTCCTAGAGAAATTGAAATACTCTAAAACCGAAGTGCTTCTGTCATCTTTGGTACTACGTTCAAAAGAGAACATCACGTTATCAGAACCCGAAACTGGTTATCATAAATATAACAATAATAGTAACAAATTAAAAGCTGTGGTAGCCTAAACCATTAGGTGTGGCGTTTGGCGGTAGGTCAAACCATTAGGTTTGACCTACCGCCTCTCAAGCACAGGTGGTGGGTTTGAATCCGGGCTCGCATCTCCTGAGTTTTTCGGAATTTAGATGTGAAATATATTTTGAAATTCACCACAAGCTTTACGGTGAAGGAAAACATTATGATGAAACCTGCACGTCGAAAAAGGTTCAGAACCCCCGGTAAAACGTGGGTAGTCCCCAACCCGCATTGAACCCTATGACGGACCGTGGCCTAACAATACCCTCGCGTGAAACCTGCGACCCGTGCCCAGCAGTGGGACACTTTTTTTTATAATACGAAGTGACAGGACGGACAAGTTGAAAAAAATATTAGGGACACTTCTACTGTGCCCGTCACCCTGAGACATAAGTTGACAAGTCCCGTGTGCCTATAATTTCACAACATTATTGCTTGGCGGCAGGAATAGATAAGGTAGAAGTACTTCCCTAGACAAACCCTTTTATAAGAAGCTCTACTGCTACTAAAATGGATTGACAATGAAATGATAACCATTACTAAGGACATGATATTTGAAATACTAGTGACAGAATACACGTGAAATATCCAAGAGTTTGTATATAACGATACACAAGAGTTTGTATATTTAAGAGATACTACTGGCGTATATCAATCATCTCTATTCAATTCACATACTCGTAACCATTTTCTACTTTAATAATTGACTTCTTCATTTGTCGAATTGCAATAAGATGAGGAAAACATAATGACCTTTGCCAATCTCACAGCATTTCTCTTAGCATTTTCATGAGCTCCTTTATAAGGAAACTGTCTTCTAAAAACATGACCAACATGAGAACACGGTATAATTTCCAGTGTACCACCGCACATCCAGGTCTTAAACGACAATTCGAGGTTTTCACTTCCCCAGATGTTGAATTCTTCATCGTAGTAACCCAAACGTGCAAAGAACTGTTTATCTATAGCGAACAGTCCGCCAGCTATAACTGGGGTATTTATTAGTGCAGCCAAATATTGACGACTTTGAATCGTGGCCGTTGGTACAACCTCCCACATAAAACGGAGGTTCCAGTCGAATCCGCCCAATCTTAAGTCGTCGATATCTTGATATATGTATTCAAATGTGTTTTTGTGGATGTAGTCTATAACGGGACTTACAACTTTTGTTTGATCCTTTTTTATACGATCCAAAAGAGGCTCCAGCCATCCTGAAATATCAGATCGGATTTTAATATTAACATAAAATATTTCAGCATTCACAGAAAATCATTATTTTAATAATGAATTTAAAATACCAGTTTGCAATGAATATAGAACCAGAACGACTCGTGAAAATAAATTCGTACAACCTAAGGCTATGAATTACTATGGCCAGAGCCTAAATAAATATATAATAGCTCGTATATATAATGATATGGGGTTCTTAAGGAGAAGTCCTACGTGTTAAGTAAATTATATAAGATAAATTTTAAAAAGGCACTATGTTATGAATCCTGTTTTAAAAAATGTTTCAAAAAGTATTTTATTGCTGTAAATATAAATTTGCATATCTTATTAAGTAGGTATGGTTATAAATGTTATTGTTGTTTTAGTTAATAAGTAAGTCTATTCTGCTTGAGAAGTACCTTTTTACTGAGGTATCTAGCTAATTATTAAGTGGATTTATAATTGTGTAACGCATGATCGTTAACAAACTGTTTACTGTTTGGCGGGAGATAGTCTTCAGTATAGTGTATACTTTTTGAAAAAATAAATGAACAAAAAAAAATAAAGCACCACAAACCTTCAGTACATTCGCAATGGCTATCAAGGTATAATACAACCGGTGCTGACGCAAACTTGAGTCCTAATAATCGCGCTCTAATTAGACCCAACCGTTCATTGCCTCTGATAACTGATACCTTTCGCAAATTTTTGTTTACGTAATCATCCAAACGAGTGTGAAGGTGTTCTGAAAGAAAACCGTTATTGAATATACTTACACGAAAAAATAAGTTGATTATATGTAGATCATTCGACCCAACAATTTAATAGCTGTAGAGCTCCTTGTGAAAGAGTTCGTCCAGGGAAGTACTGCCACCTAACCTATTTCTGCCGCCAAGCAGTAATGTTAGCATTACTGTGTTCCGGTTTTGAAGGGTAAGGGTGTTGGTGAAATTACAGGCACATGGGACATGTCAACATATGTCCCAAGGTGACGGGCGCGGTGGTAGTGCCACACAGATCTTTGCGATTTAAAGCTCTTAGTGGCACTGCAACTGTTATGGACAGGCGTGTAGCTAACAATCAGGTGCACGACGTGTTCGACTCGTCACTCGATATTATAAAAAAAAGAAGTATGTCCAGCAATTATTACAATGACACACATTCACGACAAACAAAGACGAAAGAAATATAAGCACCCAATCACAAATCGTTGTCAAAGGCATAAAGGCATGACATACAATAGATAAGTTGCTCAGTAAACACATGATAATAACATGCGTATTGTTACAGGAATAATACACAAAACACAGAGCCTACCAAAAATTCATATCAATTTAACTTGTCTCTATTAAGTTGTTTGTTCTACTTACTCATATCAGAAAAGTCATCCACGAGTATAATTTCCTTTAAAAGATTTTCAGGACTCCGGTTTAAAACGGAATGAATCGTTCTGAGCAATGTCGACCATGCTTCATTGTGGAAACAAATTACTACAGAAGCTTGAGGCAGGTTCGATGAGTAATTTTGTATTTTGCACCTGTAATATTTCTTAAAGTATAATGATATTAAAAAAATATGTAAACCTTTTAGTTCATTGGTAGTTCATCAATTAATACAGAAAAATTTACATTTCGTAATGAAATCGAAGTGCCTCTGTATGTAGGATTATTGTTGTAAATTACTAACAATCTCATTAGACTTTATGACTAACACCAGAAACAACAACTTTTGTTCTGTGACATTTAATATTTCATCAGATTTCACTTTCGCATAAAAACACAAATATTTAAAAACATCGCTCTAAACGGTGATAACACTGTGCGGTAACAAAAGAAAATCCAAGCGTATGCGTGTCCAATTCAAAACCCAAGGAGGACCCGGGGAGGACAACTGCACTTTTGAATTAACTACATTAATGTTTGGTATATTTATTATGTTTTATAAAAAGTCATATAACAAAAGCTGTTGTTTATGATATTAGCAATAAAGTCCTGAGAGGTTGTTAGTATTTCACAAATTTAGTAGCAATAGAGCTCCTTGTGAAAGAGTAGTGTCCAGGGTAGTGCTGCCACTCAGGGTGACAGGCGTAGTGGTACCGCCCCTCAGATCTTTGCAATTTAAAGCTCTCAGTGGCACTGTAACTGTTATGGACAGGCGTGTAGTTTACCATCAGGCGCACGACTTGTTCGTCCCGTCACTTGATGTCATAAAAAAATATATAATGTTAGGAGTAAAGTTATAAAATTCCTTTAACAGAGTTTTGCTCAGGTTGAAATGAAACAATGTCTTTTTGGTATAAGATTCAGATAACAAAATTTATTCAATTAAAATCTTCTTGAAAAGCTTCAAATTTACAATTTTAGCGTTATTCACTCGTTTTTGTTTTGGTTAATTTGAAATAAAAAATAGATACTTTTAATTCTTGTATAATAATTTAGTCCTATATCTGTAGATTATTCATTTCGTGAAACGTGTATAGATTAGTCGTTATTATTCTCAAAATCATATTCTTGTGTGGTCCTCCTATAGACAATTTCAATTCTAAGACAATTTCGGACTTTACATTTACTGTACAAATAATGACCGATATGCAAGTGAATATACGCTTACCATTCATCTCTAACATCTGGTAACGTACGATCCAAAGGTATCAAATCACTAACAAAATCATTGAAGGCATGCTCCTGCCAGCCTTTTCTTATAAACCACAACAAATTCATAGGTATTTCCTTATCGTCCGCTAAGAAAACGGGCTTACCATTCATACCTGCAAAATTAGAGGGAATTTTGATTTTAATTATTACGCTTCCAGCTCTTGCATCTTGAAATGAAATGAAATAATTTATTATCAGACTTACAATAATTACAAGTCCATATATTGTTAGTAAATACTTAGACACTATGTTAGTAAAACTTAAAATTTTCATTTTCTTGGATGTGAATGGACATCCAATGTTTTAAAATTGGACTGTCCATCCTCTCCGCAATCACCATCAGAAGACTGTTGGTGCTCTTAATTAATCTTGTTTGTGCTCTTATTTAAAACTTACCTTCATTTTCTATTCGTAACTTGACTTCTTGTGTTTTAGCTAAACATAAATAATGCACATGATTCCTAACATTGTTATAATTGTTACTCTACCTGGAAGACTGTCGGTGTCTCTAAGTATTGAGTATCGTTCTACAAGGGATGAACTTGATCCTCTTTCACCAAAATTTCTCCAAACTGGAACAATATTATAGCATATAATTCATTTTAACACTTTCAACACATTACGCCTTCTTAAGTAATATCATTAGGGGTTAAATTATAAACAGAAATATTAATAATCCATGTTACGTAGCAAATGCTTAGCCAGTAATATAGATTAGAATTGATTAAAAAGTGTCTTATTTCAACTTAAAATCCTAAATCTTAATTATCGATGCGCGTCATCTGCAAACTTGTCAAATAATAAAGCCAATCAAAAAAAATTTTTTTTTAATAAAACCACAAACGCATACCTTTTTTAAAATTTATTTTATTTTGTATATAGATTTGGTCGTGAACACTATCTAGCTCTGGAGAAAAAATAGGATCTACAATGGATCGAGCTTGCTCGAAAGATGCCTATTCAATCACACCTTAAAGATACTCGGGTATGTGCTCAGAAACACAGTCGCAAGCAGGGAATTTCATTCCTGGGCTGTGCGCATTGACCAAGTAGGGAATACCTTATACGTATGAGAACATAATAATTTATACCTATTTACTGTAAAGGCAATAGACTAAAATAATATAAATAACTAAATAATATGTGTCACGTCGTCGTTGTCTTCAACTTGAGCTACGAGAAAGTTAGCGTTGGTTGACGTTGGACTAAATAGCAATAATTTCCCGCCCGAAGGGGTTCCCGCCTTGTCGTGGCGGGGGGGCTCTAGTAGCTGTGGTCGATTTCAACCCACGGTGAAGCTAAGAGGAACCCACGGGGCCGGCCGATTGTGGTAGGCTGGCCCGAGGAGGAGGGCGTTCCGCGCGAGGCTCGTCTGGTCAGCGGGACCGCGCGGATGCACGAGGAGGAGGGTCGCGGGGGGAGAGACGTGTCGGTGTGTCGTTGCCGCTTGTCCTGTCCTCCGCGACCCTGGCGGGGCTGCACCACTTTCGACGATGCAGTGGCGGCGGGGCCGCGGGGGAAGAGACGTGTCGGTGTGGCTTTGCCGCTCGTCCTATCCTCCGCGGCCGAATGTGGGCGGTTGGCCCGCGGTGGGCGCTCCAAGGGACTCTCTTTGGAGAGTCCGCGCGGAAGCGCGTTAGGTGTTGCGGCGGAGCCTGTCATCAGATCCGCCGCGGGGGCTGGGGAGCAGCCGCTGAACTTCACAGTTGAGTGGATGCTGTCCTGGCGCCCCATGGCCCCTGGGTAGCGGATTCGGGGGAGTTCGCTGCCCAGCATAAAGGGGCCCGGGATGGAAGGCTCGCCTGGTGTTCGGCGAGCCTCACATTGGGAGTCGGGGGACCGATGTGTCACCCTTCTCAGGGAGAGGCTGCGCAAGGCCGCGCGTAGTGGGGGCGCGGACGAGTGCAACAGCGTACCCGTACCCCCATCTACAGCGGAGAGGAGGAAGACTCCGGGGGTTTAGTGTGGTCGGGCTGCTCCCCTTCAGGGTTCAGCCCAGTCCCACATAACCCCGGCTCTGACCCCCGCGGGGCCGGGGTATCTGTAAGCAGATGCCCCCGGATTAACAAAAAAAAACTAGCAATAATTTACAATACTCACATTTAGCTCCAAAACGAGAGTTAATATTTTTCTTTGCCGTCATTAATTCTATTTTTTTTAATGCATCTTCATACACCTGTCTATCATCAATCATCATATTGTCATTGTTGTCTTCTAATTGTTGTTTATTATCGATATACCATATAGCTAAAAGAGTAAAGAACCATATAATACCGAGAAGTATAATTATCTTCACTGGGTTTATTTCTTTCATTTTTCGGTTGTAGCTGTGTTAATCCGTGTATACGTCTGGGCTTCGAGACCGCTGGCCACAAGCCTAATGATTAAGTATCACCACACGGGTGGTTGTAAAGTAGATATTTTTCTTTGCGACTGGTTCGTGTAATCAGCCAAGCTCACTGTCTCGTTTTACACTGAAGTCGTGATGTTGGCTAATGGATGCGACTTTTGTTTTCAAAACAAAGTAGTTGATTTTCTATGTAACCAAAGCGTCATAACACATAATTATTTTGATACATCGAATATTAACAATAACACAATAACAGATAAATATTACGAAATGTTGTGAACTGTGTGTGAAAAAATTCATCATGAACTTAATACACGGAAAGCTCTAACGATACCATTGTAATTATTATTACAAAGATTGAACAAAAAGAAAAATTCCTTCGATCTGACACCATTTTACCGATACCACTGTACTTATAGAGCTATTGAATGGAAGATGTTACATGCTCGTAACAGAGCATAGATACTACAAGATACAAATCGTTTCATGATGTTAAATTTTGTATTGTTCCCACACAACACCCAGTTCAAACAAACAGAGTCAGTTGTATACGAACTCGATGAATTATTTTCATTTACTCATTGTGTTCACAACACCGTCCTTACGGGAACTGCAGAAAAGTATGAATAAAGAAGAGTTAGTATTAATGTAAATAGAGTGTCAATAGAGCTCCTTGTGAAAGAGTTTGTCCAGGGAACTACTGCCACCTTATCTATTTCTGCCGCTAAACAGAACGTAAGCATTAATGCGTTCCGGTTTTGAAGGGTTAAGGATCCTGCTGAAAATACAGGCACATAGGGTTTGTCAACTTATATCTCAGGGTGACAGGCGCAGTGGCAGTTCTCCCAAATGTTTGTGATTTGAATCTCTGATTGAGATTGGAATTGCTATGGACAGTCGTCTCGCTTACCACCAGGCACACCACTTGTTCATTTTGTCACTTGACATCATAAAAAAATTTTAAAATCTTTAAAATAATAAGAGCAACAAAACTTTCACCCAATGTAGTCGAAGTAATAGTTAATAATTATATACAGGAAATGCTACAAAATGTTCAATCCTGTTATAGTTGAGTTTTCACGCCAGTATGAAATGTCCCTTTTGCTTTCTCTTTTTAAGGTTCTTTCAAAAAGTCAAAAGGGTATTAATTAAGAGTTCATAGCCTCTTTACCCTGGTAACCTGGTAATGAGCCAAAACAAAATGTATCATGCTAACAGTAAACCGCGCAGGTGGTGAGGTAGTGATTTATTAGAGTAATCAGTTTTACCTAATTCTCCACCAACGGGCCTTTTTCTGTATACCTCGTTAACTTTAGCATTTCCCAACTTAACCTCAATTTGGCCTAACGATGCTCTTGTAAAGTAAATCTAAAGAGAACAAGCTCCAATTTTTCTTCGTCTCTAAAAACATGGCTGAATAAAAAATGCTTCGTAGTAGGTACATGAGCTTCAAGTATAATATGCCTTACGTTCTCAAACTGAAGAATGAATTTTCAAGTGACATTTTATTCGTGGTGGTAATAAAGAAAGCCAGTAATGAGTCTAATGAAGGTTTTTGTAAAGGACAAAAAGGAAGGGTTTATATAGCAGCATTTAATTAAGACGAGACGAGGAATTAGGACAAACTTTTCTTTAGATGCCTTTGTCAAATATACGGCTATAGTGTCATTTGATTTAATGTTAGATAAAAACAATTATACAAACAATTTCGATTAGGATACACACTTAATTTCATAGCCAGAAGAAGCTTGTTTCTATGGTACCAAACGATGAAAAGAACAAGTCACATGTGTTAAGCGACTCACGACCTGTCCATAGCCGTTGCAGTATCGCTCAAAGCTGTAAATCTCAAAAATCTGAGGGATACTGCTTCTGCGCTCGTCACCCTGAGACATAATTAGGTACCTAGTCCAAAAACAAGTCCAAGTCCTTCAAAATCGGAACGCAGTAATGCTCACGTTACTGCTTGGCGGCAGAAAGTGGTATGATACTATTACTTCCCTAGACCGGCTCTTTCACAAGGAACTCTTCTGCTTCTTAGCTGTACTTCTGCTTCTAGCTTCGAGCTGGTTGCCGCATCACAAAAAACAAACAGTACCGTTATTGTTAGTAGCATTTCATGGTTATGCTACATAAGTATGTTTTCAGAATTGACTTTCGAAGAATGAATTTAAAGAAAATGAGTTACGTGATTATTTCATTCTGTCTATTATGCCTTTTTGAATACTAGGAAATATTTAAATAGAGTAAACATTGTGATTATCATTATCTTCCATCAATAACTGAGTCTTAAAAATCTATAAAACTGGAATCAACTGGATTCTACAAAAGTTGTCGAGAGCACCTAATGATCTTCAGTGGAATTCTCCTAGTTTTTTCCATTAGCTCTCTTAATTGAAAGTAAAATTAAAAGAACTTGAAAGTGTAATAAAATGTGACTCAGATTAACTCGACTCGGAAAGTTTTTAGCTTTCTTTCGTACAATTACGTTCCTTTTTAGCACCTTTTATAATGTTTGTACTTTTTATTGTGACATTATGAAAACAAATGATTCTTTTTTGTATTGGAAAAGTAGCCAATAATACCAGTGCTGGTTATTAAGAAAAGTCTAAGGTATAAGCTCTGGGAAATCAAATCACAAGTCCGAAACCAAATCCATCATAATTTAGACTCGATATAGCCTGATGACATGAAGGTACTATTTCTAGTCAAAATAGTACTAGAGATCATAAATACTTTTTTGTA